CCTGGTATTAAAAGTGTTAGGGTTTTTTAAAGTATTTTGTTGTTTTATTGTTGTTGTCTTAATTTTTGTAGTCTTGGAAGGAAGGAAGGAAGGAAGGAAGGAAGGAAGGAAGGAAGGAAGGAAGGAAGGAAGGAAGGAAGGAAGGAAGGAAGGAAGGAAGGAAGGAAGGAAGCTGGAAGCAGCTTTAGTACTTTTAATGTTTTTGGAGAAGAGGGAAGATTAGCAAGTGTGGTTTGTCATGTCACCAGGTAACAAACCATACCTGTTGAAATCCCCTCTTCTCTACAAGAGCACATAATCCCTCTCCATCTTTCAAGCTGGCAAACCTCCCTTAAGTACACAAACAGTGGGACTCTGGGCAGTAGGGTTACTGATAAAACGATCGATGCCCAGCTCTGACAGCTAAGAGGAAAGACTGGTGAATGCCAATGCTAGAGGCGCCCACCCACCCAAACAATACCCAAAGCTCTCAAGCCTTCGAGGTCTCTCTCCAGATTGGTCGATCGCGAGGCAAGAACTACGCTTCCCCGAATGCTTCGCGCCCACGAAGGAGGCAGTGAAAACCCACGGTTCTCCAGGGGAAGGGGTGGGACTTCGAGGAGAATCAGAGAGCCTCGTTGTCAATGTTTACATAGGAGAACTTCCTGTTGCAAAAGGGAGATGCTTCCGTAGGGTGGCTTGGAATGGGTTGCATGCGTGGGAAACAACATGGGCATTCAAAGACGAGAGGTTTGAAACGTTAAAGGTTTTGCAACGATTTCCAAACCCTTGCCCTCCAGGCATATTGGATGTCAACTCCCAGAAGCATCAGCTGGCTTGGCCAATAATAATTAAGGGCTCTGGGGGTTGAAGTCCCAATACCTGGAAAACCAGCGTTTGGGACCCCTTTTACACTGCCATAGAATTCATTATCTACTTTGATCTGGATTGTATGAGTCTACACTGCCATATAATCCAGCTCAAAGCAGATAATCTGGAATGTATATGGCAGCATAGAAGGGGCCTGGAAGACATTGCCCTTGCATTGTCTGGTGTTTTCCCCCCCATTGAATCATAGAATCAGAGTTGGAAGAGACCTCATGGGCCACCTAGTCCAACCCCCTGCCAAGAAGCAGGAAAACTGCTTTCAAAGAACCCCCGCCAGATGGCCATCCAGCCTCAGTTTAAAAGCCTCCAAAGAAGGAGCATCCACCACAATCCAGGGCAGAGAGTTCCACTGCTGAACAGCTCTCACAGTCAGGAAGTTCTTCCTAATGTTCAGATGGAATCTCCTCTCACAGATGTTCTGAATCCAGGTAATATAAAGTCCCATTCTATCTACATTTTTGTTGGTTTCCTAACATCATAACCTATGATTTTTTGAAAGTTATCATCTGGAGATGTTCACACAAATTGATAGTTTCTGTAAAGATATACAAAAAAAACCCAATAGAGCTAGCAATCTTGCCATCCTATCCAGCTTTAAGCAGGGGGAGATCAATGGAATTGGAGAGTATATCACCATGAAAACCATGATGGCATTAACATATTTTAATGTAACCTTTTGAAAAACCAAAATCTCCATAACCTTTGGGAGAAAATTGGATTTCACAACCATTTGAAGATCATAAACTTTTGTAAAAGTATGATGTTCCAGAGAAGAGCCAAAAACTCATATATCCACATGTACTTATGCTAGGCAATTTGGCTTTCAGTTGTTAGACCGATAATTCGGAAAGCCTCCGGTAGCACAGGCTAAACCACTAAGCTGCTAAACTGGTTGACCAAAAGGTCACAGGTTCGAATCCCGGGAGCAGTGTGAGCTTCCGCTGTAAGGCCCAGCTTCTGCCAACCTAGCAGTTCAGAAACATACAAATGTAAGTAGATCAGTAGGTACCTCCTGTGGGAAGGTAACGGCACCCCATGCAGTCATGCTGGCCACATGGCCTTGGAGGTGTCTACAAACAATGCCGGCTCTTCAGCTTAGAAATGGAGATGAGCACTAACCCCCAGATACGACTGGACTTAATGTCAGGGGAAAACCTTTACCTTACCTATTTAGAATTCACAACATGGGAGTTCCAGTTCTTCACCAAACTGGAATGAAACTATGACAACTATAGTGGAATAATAGCGTTATAATGGTGCAATATAAAATGGTCCCCAGATCAAGGGATGTATTAATGCCATTTTATCATTCCAGCCCTCATTCTGAAAATATTATGTGATTTCTGAGCATAACATCTCAAGGAGGAGATCAGTAGTCTGAAACATATTCAGAGAAGGGTGACCAAGGCGCTGAGAGGTCTGGAAACTAGGTCCTATGAAGAATGGGTATAGTATGGTGTAGTTAGCTTTGAGCAGAGGTGACTGAGAGATTATATGAGAGCTGCCTTTAAACATTTTGAAGGGATGTCAAGCGGAAGATGGAGAAGATTGTTTTTTTATGTTCGAGAGACTAGAATATGAAGCAATTGATTCAAATTATAAGAAAATAGTTTTGCCGAAATGGGATCCCCCCTCTTTGATAGTGACAGGCGTGTTGGACTAAATAGCCCTTGAGATCCAACTAGGCCTAGGAGAAACCTAATCTTTGAAAACAACATCAGCGAAGACGATTAGCACTTTCATTTTCCAGGGATGATGGCACAGGGGGCTTTCGGGATTTGCTGTCGCAAAAAAATGATTTTGGGAGTCCCATCCCAAATCAAAATCTATGGATGATCAAGTTCTATTATATATAATGTTGCAAAAAAAGTATCCCTTATTTAAAAGGGTCACCCTTCAAGGTTTGTTCTTCTGAATTTGGTACTGTTCCATTATCCCAGTGAAGGCCACAAGGGGGCACAAGACAAGGAAGGAAAGTTCATTTTACTGGAGGGGGGGTGGGGTTTGAACCATTTTATGGTTTGGATCCTGCCTATCTTTGGCCTATCTTTAAGATCTGCTGGAGAGGCCTTACTCTCGCTCCTGCCATTATAACAAGCCCGGTTTGTGGGGACGAGAGAAAGGGCCTTCTTGGTGGTGGCCCCCCACCTCTGGAACTCCCTCTCCTGGGAAATTAGACTAGCCCCCATTCTGTCCACCTTTTTCAGGGATTTGAAAACCTATATATATCAGTGTGCATCTGAATGATGATTAGTCCCTGTTCATGAATGTCCAGCCCTAATTTACTGATAAGGTTGTATTCAGCAGTTTACCCCCAGCCCCTGCCCTATAGTTTGCTTTTTGTATAAGCCCATGCCCTGCTCTCTCTAATTTGATCATGCCCACCATATTCCTGGTTACTGGTTGTTGAGGTTGGTTTGATACACATTTACAATGTTTTTATACTTTGCCATTCTTAATTGTTTTAATCAGATTATGTTACATTATATGTTATTATGATTTTAACTGTGTACCTTTGGGGAAATGGTGGCGGGGTATTAAGAATAAAGTTGTTGTTGTTGTTGTTGTTGTTGTTGTTGTTGTTGGAGCCCACGGTGGCGCAGTGGATTAAACCCTTGTGCCGGCAGGACTGAAAACCAACAGGTTGGAGGTTTAAATCCAGGGAAAGCATGGATGAGCTCTCTCTGTCAGCTCCAGCACCCCATGCAGGGACATGAAAGAAGCCTTCCACAAAGATGGTAACACATCAAAACATCTGGACGTCCCCTGGGCAACATCCTTGTAGACTGTCAATTCTCTCACACCAAAAGCAACTGCTGACATGAAAAAAATTATTACTGAATGAGTTAACCCACCCCCTCCCCAGTTTTCCTGTTATTTCCCCCACCCATGTCATTGTGGAAACAACCATCCTTTATGACAGAGGTCCTCAAACTAAGACCCAGGGGCCAGATACGGCCCTCCAAGGTCATTTACCTGGCCCTCGCTCAGGGTCAACCTAAGCCTGAAATGACTTGAAAGCACACCACAACAGCAACAATCCTATCTCATCAGCTAAAAGTAGGCCCATGCTTCCAATTGAAATACTAATAAGATTACATTTGTTAAGATTGTTCTTCATTTTAATTATTGTATTTTTAAAGTGTTTTTGCACTACAAATAAGATACGTGTAGTGTGCATAGGGATTCATTCATGTTTTCTTTTCAAATTATAATCCGGCCCTCCAACAGTTTGAGGTACTGTGACCTGGCCCTCTGTTTAAAAACTCTGAGGATCCCTGCTTTATGATATTGGTAAGGGGGGGGGGGTGACCAGGAAAAATGGGGAAAATGGTTTTCTTCTTCCAAATGCTCCCCCCACCCCATAAAGTGGACTATCCTTCTCTCTTTAGGCTCTCTTTTGGAGTCCGCTGGGATAATGGAGCAGTATTGTGAATTTCTTTTGCGGGGAGGATATTTCCCAAGCCCTAAATCAGAAGTCCTCAAACTTTTTAAACAAAGGGCCAGATCACAGTCCCTCAAACTGTTGGAGGACCAGATTATAATTTGAAAAAAATCATGAATGAATTCCTATGCACACTGCACATATCTTATTTGTAGTGCAACACCCCCCCCCTTTAAAACAATACAATAATTAACACGAAGAACAATTTTAGCAAATATAAGCTTAATAGTATTTCAATGGGAAGTGTGGGCCTGCTTTTGGCTGATGAGATAGGATTGTTGTTGCTGTTGTTGTGGTGTGCTTTCAAGTCATTTCAGACTTAGATTGACCCTGAGAGAGGGCCAGGTAAATGACCTTGGTGGGCTGTATTCGGCCCCGGGGCCTTAGTTTGAGGACCCCTGCCCTAAATGGTTGAATCCATGTATACAGAATCCGTGGATGGGGAGGGCTGGCTGTACTCAGGATCAGGCATGCAGGCGAGGTCCTGCTTCTACCTGGCAAGTAGCACCTGAGCAGTGGGCACCGACTGAGATGCCGTGGCTGTGCCATTCCCATGCTATGGAATCACGTTAATTAGTTGCAGTTTCCCCAGGTCTTTATGGCCTTCTGCGCCAAAGTGTGTCGGTGCCTCACCAAACTACAGCTCCCAGGATGCCGTAGCATTGAGCCATGGCAGTGAAAGTGGTGTCCAAGGGCGTTAATTCCACCCCCTTTTGTCTCCGGCCTCCCAAACGCGAAAGTCCTGGCTGGCGGGCTTGACGTAGTCCCGCCTGCTTCGGCTCCTGACGAGCAGCCGAGAAAGAGGAGGAGGAGGAGGAGGGAAAGGACGGCAGCCCCGCCTCGACAGGGAGGGAAGGAGGGGTGGCAACCAGAGGGATCATCGCGGGGTGTCCTCTCCGCCGAGCCCTGGGCCAAAGGGCCTCTTCCTGGAGCGGAAGATGAGTGCGGACGCGCTGCCGCTGGACTGCCTCCTCCACCTCTTCGCCTGCCTGGAGGTGCCGGACCTGCTCCGGGCCGCCCAAGTCAGCAAGGTACCACTAGCTCCCTCCCCGGAAGCCCCCTCCGCTGCGCCTGGGTGTTGTTTACCCCCAAACAATGGAGCCGCGAGTCCTTGCTGCCGCTTTCTGGTCACTGTAAAGGGCCAGTCTCCCTTTCTGTCTGTGTGTGCGGATCACTTCCTCCTCCTCCTCCTCCTCCTCTTCCCTTTGTATACCATGGTGGCTTTTCTGAGTCAGCTTGGCCTCTGGACACTGGAGAATGAATGCAGTTTGGCTCAATGCTATGGAATCACTGGAGCTGCAGTTTTGCAAAAGCTTGAGCCATCTCTTGAGCCACACTACGACTCCCCTAATTGGACAGCATTGAGTCAAGGTGGTGTTTTGTGTGTGTGTGTGTATGTCAGGAGCTACTTGAGAAACTGCAATTCGCTTCTGGTGTGAGAGAATTGGCGTCTGCAAGGACGTTGCCCAGGGGACACCCAGATGTTTGATGTTTTACCATCCTTATGGGAGGCTTCTTTCATGTCCCCGCATGAGGAGCTGGAGCTGATAGAGGGAGCTCATGCACACTCTCCCCAGATTTGAACCTAGGACCTGTCAGTCTTCAGTCCTGCCAGCACAGGGGTTTAATCCACTGCGCCACCGGGAGGGTCTAAGTTTGTTCAGGCCTGCTGTAGAATAAATGCCACTTTAAGGTGGCATTAAAATAGCATTTATTCTATGACAGGCCTGAGCAAACATGGGTCCTCCAGGTGTTTTGGACTTCAACTCCCACCTTTCCTAACAGCCTCAGGCCCTTTCCTTTTCCCCCTCAGGGAAGGACCCAAGTTTGCACAGGTCTGCCCTACAGTGTATAGCCAGCCTGTGTATGCATGTTTTGGTCTTCAAGTCGCTGGTCCAAGGGTGCATTTACACTGCAGAATCAATGCAGTTTTACACCACTCTAACTTCCATGGCTCGATGCTATGGAATCTGTAGTTTGGTGAGCTTCAGAGATATCTATTAGAGAAGGCTAGACACCTTGAAAAACGACAGTCTCCAAGATTTGATAGCATTGAGTCAGGGCAATTAAAGTGGCTTCAAACGACATTCCTTCTTCTGTATGGATGCATCCTAAGAGCTAGGACAAACATGTATGTAGAAAATTGTTGTTTTATCCTTGTCTTAAAGGGATCAACATTTCTGAGACATGCAGGGTTAAAAAGCAAACAGAATTAGTATCGAATTGGTGGCCGAATATGTGGTATGTACCTTAAAATCTCATCAGTGTATGGCACCCCCATGAATTTGAGAGGATTTTCCTTCTAAATTAGTATTTATCTAGGTTTTTATTTGAGAATAAATATAAAGAAGTTATTATTTGTTGCAATTGTATGCTATGCTGCCTTTCTTCCCAAAGTGGGACCGAAGGCAGTTTCCAGCAGTTACAAATTTTCATAATTGAAACAAAGTTGCCAGATACATTAAACAAAAAAAGAAACATTTCTGATACTTGTAATGTTGATGATCATTGAATGTTTCCATTTTCAAAACTGGTAGTAGTCAAACAATGTCTGTTTGGGAGGAGACAGTCAATAACTGGGATCATGACAGGTCAACAAAGCTTAAGCTTTAAGATTCAAAGAAAACACCCTTGGCTCAGTGTGAGACCATATTTGGCATTTGTTTCACCTTAGCCTTGCTTGGATGCTATCAGGTAAGCACTCTTCTAGACTGAGGGAGGCACAGCTTGAACTTCTGCCCCTGCCAGCAATATGAGGGCTTTCTCTTGTGCAGAAGTTGGTGAAATATGAAAGTGAAGCTTCTTGGGCTGTAAGAACGAAACCCTTGAACAGTAGTTCTCAATCTGTGGGTGCCGGGGTGTTTTGGACTACAACTTCCAGAAATCCCAGCCAGTTTACCGGCTGATAGGATTTCTGGGACTTGAAAGCCATAACATCTGGGGACCCACAGGTTGAGAACCACTGCCATAGAAGATGAGTGGGTGATACCCGGCCCTTATGTATAGTTGGATGATAGCACTTCCTTGCCACAGGCTAGGCTGCTGGGGGGACTACCATTCCACCGACATTTACCTAGAAATTTTTACTTTTTTAACAGAAGCTGGGCTTAGAACCAAATACTTTGAAGAAACAAGATAGGTCCAAACTATTAATTCTGAATACATTTCTGGGAGTAATCTCCATTATCTTGCAGTGCTTACTTCTGTATAGACTTGTATAGGGTTCCACTGCTGAGGCCTGGGGAAGCCCTGAGAATGCTCAGACATTGCATGTTTGCAGTCAGGGCCTGCTTCTAAAACCTGTTGTTGTTTTTCCTTTTAGACATGGAACGAAGCATCAGAGACCACTTCTCTTTGGAGGTGAGTGCCTTATTATCACAGTGTAGATTGCTACATGGGGGCATTTATAAAGAAATTGTTCCTGGGTGTCCTTGCTCCTATTCAAACAGTTCACAAGTAAAAGCTTCTCCACTGGATAGCAAACCTAATATTCTCACTGTGTAAGAAGAGGTTGCTGTTATTAAAAAGAAGTGGATCAATACAGAGGTGGAAATGTACACACATCAATGTTCTAACCATTTTTATTAATCCTGCCCACCACCAGAAAATACCAGAACTAAAAAGAACACCTTGGTTTCAAGGTCCTTTCACTGGGCAATGTTCAGTGCTAAATATTCATACATGGTCTATGAATGTATTGCATGTTCAGTGACAAACATCTTTACTCAACATACACCTCTTCTTTGGTAAGTAGCATTTACAACTCTGTGCAATGTTTCTTAGTGTTTAATGACTCATCTCTTTGTGTTTCAGTGACTCATCACTAATGGATATTAGTATTTTCATAAATTCTTACAGCACAAGTTTAGAATTCAAAAATCCCCAAACAAAGGAGAACTAAAAAAGCAACAACAACATTTTACATCCAATACAACTAATCACCCATCTGTTTTTCATCTAATGAAAGCCTCTGAGAATAAAGGGTTGTTGTCAGGAGTTCCCAATGAACAATTCATTGAAGCAGCTATGGAGAAAACACCTTACATTTGAAGATAATACTGTGATTGTTTACATTTATAGAAATTTGTGTCTAAGACGGTGGGCCTTCTGCAATATCTCTGTGATCCCAGGAATGCAGACCTGGAAAAAGTACTACCTCCACCGATCAAACCTTGAGCATAAGATGGAATCAGGACGGCCTTCAGTTGACTATACATGCAAAGCTATTAGAGGACATAAAGGTATGTGAACTATAACCAAAAACAGTGTCATTTATACAACAGAAAATACCTATACATTCCTACCCCAAATTATACATTCTGGCCTGCAGAACCCATCAGAATAAACCAGAGTAAAATATAAGCTACACAAATCAGATTTTGTTTATTGGGACATCTGGATCTGTAAACAAATCCCCACCACATTTGTGATTCACTGAAATGCTGCATATTTTTCTATCAAAGTTCAAATTAACTAGGTCTTTAGACCCAAACATATTTTTACTTCAAAGAAAATTCTGTTATTTCATTATAGGAGTAATAAATGCCATGGCTTATCTATCAGAGAATGAACACACCTTTGCAACAGGGAAGGTGAAGTCTATTGTATGTACTGCATCTTCTGATGGCACTATCAGAGCATGGGATGTCCAAGAGGTAGGACAAAAGTGTATGTAGAAAATGATTGTTTTATCCTTGTCTTAAATGGCTCAGCATTTTGAATACATGCAAGATTAAAAAGCAAATAAAATTAATGTCCAAGTGCTGGCAAAATGTGCAGTGTGGATGACTGTGCCTTCCAATTGCTTGTCAACTTATGGAACCTGCATGAATATCATGGGTTTTTTTAAGGCAAGGAATACTCAGAGGTGCTTTTACCAATTCTTTCCTCTGAATATTCATTGAATACTCAGTATTCCTTTGAAATATAGCCTGTAGCCCTTCTTATTCATTAGTGATCTTCCATCCAGAATTAATCTGCTTAGCTTCCAAGATCAGACATGATCCAGTGCCTCTGTACCTATATTATTAATTACTAGCTGTCCCCTCTCATGCGTTGCTGTGGCCCAGTCTGTGTATGTGTTTTGTGTGTATATATATATTTGTGTATATGTGTATATATGTGTGTTTGCATTTATATATGTGGTTTTGCACATGCATTGTAATGTATTCTTTGGCTTTTTAAGTCTTTTCCACTGTGTTTTTCAGTGTTTTTTATGGGTGATGGTCACTTGTTGGCCTGATATGTGTACTGTGTCCAAATTTGGTGTTTATTTGTCCAGTGGTTTTTGAGTGATGTTAATCCCACAAACATTATGTTTTTATTTATCTAGATTAGTATCGTTTTGAATAAGAGACAAGGCAAGAAGGTTGGTCAAGTTCCATAGTGACTTTTCAATAATGTGTGCTACATCTTTTGTCCTTTCTGGCTTTTATAAAAGCCAGTTGTATAGAAACAGTATCTTTATTGCAAAGTGATTCTGTGTGCCTAAAGGGATGTCGAGAGACCTTTCATTTGTGCTTTTTTAAACTTACAAACCCCAATTTATAGCTCGTTTTTGTATAAATATACAAAATATAAATATGTGAGGAGGAGTCATAGGGAAGAGGGAGCAAGCTTCTGCTGCCCTAGAGACTAGGACATGGAACAATAGCTTCAAATTACAGGAAAGGAGATACCACCTGAACATTAAGAACTTCCTGTCCCAGAGTGTGGTGGAGGCTCCTTCTTTGTAAGGCTTTTAAGCAGAGGCTGGATGGCCATCTGTCAGGGGTGCTTTGAATGCAGTTTTCCTGCTTCTTGGCAGGAGGTTGGACTGGATGGCCCATGAGGTGTCTTCCAACTCTATGATTCTGATACCCAATTTTGAAACAATGAGGAGAGACAAAGTGTCATTTTAGCCAAAGAGCTTCCTGAACAAGACTGGCTCTTTATGGAACAGACTACTTTTTATTGGCTTTTATATTCTAACCAAGATTTTCCTTTAAGTATGTGATCTGAGTATTGTTTGCCCCTCATGCATCTCTTCTCACTGAAAAGGCAGGGCATACATTAAATGAAGAAAGTGTCAAAAAGGAAAGAATTAAGGAAATAATTAGGTGACTTTTCATATACCAAAAAGTCATTTTATTTTATTTTTCCTTTTACCCAAAGATGCCTGATAAAAAGGGTACCACAACATGTACTGTCATGGAACTGTTTCAATGTGTAATAAAAACAGTACTGACAGGAAATAAATTTCTTTTTAAAAGTACTAATCAGCTAACACTATTATTATTATTATTATTAATCAGGGCACACAGATCTGGTCAAGTCCACAACAGGAAGCTCCACTACTAAATATTATCACATTTCCTCTGCATAAATTGGCAGCTACCACAGACTCTCGGGGGACAGTGAAACTCTGGCATGGAGACACAGGGGAAGAGCTTGCAGCATTTTCAGTGTCATCCTCCTCGTGCTCTGTGGTTGGCTACACAATAAACAATAAGCCATTCCTAACGGTAAGTGCAGCCCTAATGGAATTATTAACAACTCTTTCTGCCAGCTTCCAGTTGCCTGGACAAATGCCTACTGAAAATACATTTTGAAACTGTAGAAACAGAAGACTGGGTCAAACCAAGGCCTACCTAGTCTAGCATTATCTCCTAAGAAATGCAGCACCAAATATACAATGACTTAGCCAATGATGGAGGACAGTGGTAAATCTTTTGTCTGCCTCCATAAAGTATGGTAGTTTTTAAAAGCTTTAGCCCTTTGAAAGTGGTAAACTGTTAATCCTATTTTGACTATTTCCCTCTTTGGTTTAGGTAGGCACTGGAGAAGGTGTACTGTACCAGTTGGCAGCTTCTGACCTAAGCCAGGTTTTACGCACAAAAGTGTTTCACGCTGGTGGCATAGAGTTGTCACTCTGCTCACCAGATGGGCAATGGATAATTGTTTGTCCTACTGATCCTGCTTATTCGCCAAAGGTACAATCATGCTGCTGTTTAACATATTAATACTTGATTTTTAAGGCAATGACAACTTGAGATGGGGCAAATGAATTTATATGGGGGTATCGGTTGCCTTCCAGTTGTGCTGCTGCGAGCTTGATTTCTGCACAACCTAATCTGATCCCCACAGTACCCAGGCTGAACAGGACATAGGGTTCAGCCTGTGTTGGATGGGGTTACACTCCCCCTGAAGACGCAGGTTCATAGCGTGGATGTGATCCTGGATTGATCATTGAGCCTGGAACCCCAGGTCTCAGCAGTGACCAGGGGAGCATTTGCATAGTTAAAGCTTGTGCACCAGCTGCGCCTGTACCTTGGGAAGTCTGACTTGGCCACGGTAGTCCACTGGTTACATCTTGTATAGACTACTGCAACGTGCTCTATGTAGGGTTGCCTTTGAAGACTGTTTGGAAACTTCAAATGGTCCAGCAGCCATGCTGCTAATGGGAGCAGCACTCATGGAGCACACAACTCCTCTGTTGTGCCAGCTCCACTGGCTGCCAGTTTGCTACCGGGCACAATTCAAAGTCCTGGTTTTAGCCTATAAAGCCCTAAACGGTTCCGGCCCAGCCTACCTGTCTGAATATATCTCTCCTTATGAACCAGTCAGGCATTTAAGATCTTCTGGGGAGGCCCAGCTCTTGATCCTGCCTTTGTCACAGGCGCACGTGGCAGGGACAAGAGACCGGGCCTTCTCAGTGGTGGCTCCTCGGCCATGGAACTCCCTCCCTAGGGATATTAGATCAGGCCCCTCCCTACTGACATTCCAAAACAAAAGAAAAAATCTGGCTCTTTGAACAAGCCTCTGGAAAACAGCGTAATGGATGAATATGGAACCCAGGAAAGAATGAACACGGAACAGCTTAGACAATGTTTTTGGAAAATGAGCTAATAGGAAGGCACTGGTGATTATGTTTTTAATGATTTTTATAATGTGCGCTAAATGTTTTTAATTGTGTTTTATGACCATTGTGGAATTGAATTGCACCAGTTGTAAGCCGCATTGTGTCGCCTCAGAGTTGAGAAAGGCGGCATAGAAATGCCATAAATAAATTAAATACATAAACAAACAACTTCTGAAACTGAGACAAGTTTTACGTAGGGTGGCTTGTTACTCAAACAAGCTTAGGATAGTGCTTTGCATGTACAAAGTTTTAAGTTTCATACTTAATATCTGTGTTATGCTGGTAAAGACCATCTGAAATTCTTCTTGTGCTACTGCCAGTCTCGTGTAGCAGGTATGGGCAACTAGACATATAGAAGAGAAAAATCAAAACTGGAAATGACCAGGCATCTACTTCCAGGTTTGATTATCCTGGAGTGGCCTTTGTAGGTGGTGCTTTAAACTGATCTATTTAAATGCAAATTAGCTGCTCCAGGTCTGTTTTAATATAAAACACTACAAGCTAAGGCCATTTTGTGGGGAGAGATTACAATTATATTGGAGATTGTGGAAGGCCATGCAGTTCATGAACAGCACATTGCTCACAATAGATGTTCCAATAGTGTGACTTGGTCCAAGTCAGTTTGGTGTGTCCAAAGCTTGATTAAAACTGAAAAGCCTACTTGAGAAGGCATAAGTGTACCCAAAATAGATGTTGCGCCTCAGTCTATTGTGATTCTTGTTTTTGTATACTAGGTATTCTACACACATTGTGTAACTCACCCAGATGATGATGAACTGATGTTGTCTAGCCCCTTACCAGTCACAGACCATCGTCTTGTTACCTGCTGGTTACCAGCAGAACCAGCAAGAATAGCCATAATGCATAATGATGAGATTAATTTTCGCATTGTTTGCTTTGATATAGCCATTGAGAAGAAGTCCAGATACAAAAGAAACATTACAGGTATAATTCTTTGAGTTGTTAACTAGTTATGGAAGCTATTTTACTTGTTATCCTTTTAAATAAATAACAGTTTGCAATAGTGTACTTGGTGTCGTTGCTACATTTTATAAAACACTTTTCAAAGTGGCTAATACACTGGAAGGTAGTTTGGGAAAACACCATAGAAAAAGCTAGAACAGTATCGGTAGAAGAGTGACTTAATTTTTATTTTTTTATTTTTTGCAAAAGCTCAACAAGTTGCAAGCTTCACGTTACCAACACAAGAACCATGGATGACTGAGAAGATCATGAAAGGATTTGGCAAACAAACTATTCTTATAGCAGCTGGATTGGAGCTGAAATTATACTCTCTGATGGGGACTGAATTAATGGCTTTCAAGGATCACTATAAAATTATTACATCAATCTGGGTGGTACAGTCACAACTACTACTGCTACTACTATTTTGTGTTCTGTCCTTTACAAATTCTTTATCTTAAGGCTGTCTTACTCTCCCTTCCACTGTCTGTAGGATCCTTTTCATGTTGTCACGTCGTCCATGGACCTCTCACTCCGCGTGTACTCCTGGAAAAATGACAAGAAATCCTCCTTGTTGATTAGTTGCTATCATTTACTAGGTGGTTCTCACAGATGGTCAAGGTAGGTTTTATTTCTATCACTTTAGTCTCTAAGCTCAGTTCCTTAGGTGGCAAAGATTTCTTGAATATCAGTTGATTAAACTGTTCTTCATACATGAACAAAATTTTGAGAACCCATGAACACATTTAGTTAGAGCTTGACATTTCTTAAGTAAAGTTCAACTTTGGATCTGCCCGCTTTTTAAGATTTTAAAAGGCATTCTGGTCACACTTCCAAGCTGGAGTGGAAATCTATGACTGGTCTCTGGAAAAAAAAATTACAAGTAAAAACAGATAGCAATATTGTTTAATGTTTGGTACTTTGGTGTATCAATACAATGGATTGACTGACTACTTGGGACATTTTCTTTTTAATGAAAAATTGAGTCATTTATATTTTCATAAGTGTTGTTAAGATTGTAAGACATATGGTGTCTATTAAGTAGAGGCAGATCTCCAAATATAATTGAACATTGTGCTTCCAAATATTAATCTGAATTCTATTTCTTTTCTTGAGAATGTAAGTAACATGTAGGATTCAGCACTTAGTATTAAATCATGCCATATGTCGGTAGCAATAGGTAGCAAGATATTTTCATGCACATATATCTGGAGAGTTTTCCTCCAAGCTGTGGAAGTAAGAACACTGACTCAAAAGTTATAGTACGTTTATACTGTTTCAGTACATGATCATTTACTTGTCAAGCCCTGGTGGCTCTTTTCCCCACAACCAGAAATAAAGGAGTAGAAATGAGGGTCCCACAGAAAGTAGTATCATTTACATCACAACATATCTATCCTGCTCCAAGTAAGACAAAACTAACTACTGAATTGTGGTAAAGTTTTCCCCAGAATGCCACAAAAACAAAAATTCTTGAAAGATGTGGAGTTTGTAATTTAGATTTTAGTTAAGGAACAGGATGAATCAATAATTATTTAACCTATTAAATATCTGTTTTCTCTCTGCTAGTGGCTTCAGAAATGTGGCTTGTGACGATGTGAGCATTGTTGGCGTTGTGGCTGGAACTGATGGCACCGACATTTTAAGAGCATACTCCTTTAATCTTTGAGATACTTCTTTTATGTTCCCATGTTATCTTTCTTCTTTTGTAAATAAAGTGAATCCCTGGGATCTGCATGTTTCAGTGGTATGCATCTATGTTCATATCTTATAAAACATTTCATATCATCTGAAAATAAGAGCATGCACAGAAACTCAAGCTTTGTAATCATTTGCACTGATACTGGCAATAAACCTTATATGATGGTCACCTGCCCTTTTCTGGTCTATAAATATAAGTTCCATATCTAAGCCGGAAAGAAACAGAATTGTTTCATTTAGTTGTACATAGTATGCCTATTGAAGTTCCAATAAACTGGAAAATGGCAATTGTTGTCTATATCCTCAAAAAAAAAAAAAAAAAAAAAGGGGGGGGGGGGGAGGTCAGATCAAAATTACCACCAAGCCAGGCTGATATCAATATCAGGACAGAAACTAGAGATCATAAGAGTCTGCAAGTCAACAAGGATTTTCTCAAAAACAAGCCATACCAGACTAGTATAATTTTTAACAAAGTTACAAGTTTGTTAGATGAAGGGAATGCAGTTAATGTAGCTTATCTTCAGTTCAGTATAGTCAATAAGGTCTCCCCCTGATATTCTTGCAAACAAGTTAGTAAAATGTGGGCTAGAAAATGCTATTGTTAGATTAATTTGTAGTTAGTTGATTAGCCAAACCCAAAGAGTTCTCACTAATGGCTTCTCCCCATCCTGAGGAAAGGGGTGCCATAGGGTTCTGTCCTGGATCATCTTTATTAACAGCTTGTATGATGGGAAAGAGGACAAACTTATCCAATTTGTGAATGATACCAAATTAGGAGATATAGCTAATGTCACAGAAGAGAGATCAGAATTCAAAATGATCTTAACAAATTAGAGCGGAGCCAAAGCTAACAAATATGTAGATTAAGGGAAGTTGAAGTACCCTTTTTATTGGTCATATGACACCTGGAATAGTGTCCAGTTTTGTCCACCACAATACAAGCGCACAAGGATATGTGTAAGCTGAAAAATGTCAAGAGAAGGGTGACCTAAATGGTTAAAGGTCTGGAAGCCAAACAACTTTGGGTGCTGGGAATGTTTAGCTTGGAGAATAGTTGAGGTGATATGATGGCCATATTTAAATATTGGAAATATTTGAGGAGGCAAGCTTGTTTTCTGCTGCTCTAGAAACTAGAACATGGAACAATGAATTCAAACCACATGAAAAGGGATTCCAGCTAAACAGTAGGAAGAATTTTCTGATGAGAGCTGTTCGACATTTGAATATACTGACTCAGTGTAGTGGCGCCTTCTTCTCTGGAGATATTTAAAGTGAAGCCAAATGACTAACTGTCAGGAATGCTTTAATTGTGTATTCCTGCTGTGGAGTGGACTGAATGGCTCTTGCGTTCTCTTCCTACTCAATAGATCTAGTCAATTGACTTAAAAAAAAAAAGAAATCTTACACAAATACTCCATTTAGATGTACTAAGAACTAGAATAATATCTGCATTAACATTTTAAGCATGAGTATTGACTGCTCCACCCTCCCCCAAATGTACTAAACCTTGCAAATTATTGTGCTGGTGCATGCTTAAAAATCTGTTTTTAATCTGTGTTTTAAATTTTTGATTGTTTAATCTTGTTTTAATTTTTGTATCTTATGGATTTAACAATAGTTTTAAAATTCATTGCAAACAGCTTTAAATCCCAATTTGGGAAAGAAGCAGGATATGAATTATTGTTATTTTTAAACCATCTTTACAAGCATATTTCTAATGTCACCAGAGAAGACAACATACGCAAACCGGAATGAACTACTGCAAAGAAATGAATTGGTCAACTCAATCTGAATCTTTTATTATGCACAAATATACAAGTCAGTTATCATTTTTCCCAAACCATACCTACCTAGCATTCATTGTTTTTATAATACTTTGTATCACAGAACTATTTTAGTCCTCTTGCTGTGGATACATTTTGTTTGCTACCAAAAACTTTAAGATGTTATTATTTGGCCTAACTGGGCTCATGGATAAAGATATCTCACTAAATCCTGCAAACGTCATGTAATAAACCATCTGAAGATGATTTAAATTGAGCCAAAATTATTTTGTTGTAATATTAAAGCCCTAAGAAAGGCAGCAGGTTGTATAGTTAACTCCTTTTGGGCAAAACCACTGCCCTAAAACTATGCAACCTACTACCTCTTCCTAGGAGCCCATAATCTCTTCTGTAGTTCTTCCAAAAATAAACTAGCATCTGTAGTGTACAATGAAATTGAAAAATAAATCCAAGGAAGGAAGATGTAGTACAAAATGCACATGTTAATTTAAGCATAGAGGTAAAAATATTCCACAATTGCATCTTAATCAAGAGATAAAAGTGGGATATAAATATAATAATGAAATATAACACAGTTGTAAACTGTATATGACTAGTAAACAAAATTAAGCATTCTCTATGCACCAACTAAGAAACCAAGCAATGGGTTACTTTTTATTCAACACAGCTCAAGCCAAATGACATGTATTTTCAAAAGGTATACATGTGCAAAGTTCTTGAACTAATACATAAACCTCTTAATACTCATCCATGTGCCACTGGAGAAAGTATCTCCTTCAGTGGGAGTGAGATTACATCCATGAACATTTTCCGCATGAAAGAGTAGGCTTGGTGCCCTTGATATACAGGTGCCAGAAGATGAAAATTATGGAGGTCAGGAGAGAATTGAGCCTGTTTTAAGTGCAACATATATCATACTAAAAATAAAGAAACATCTTATCACCACTCTTTTCAAATCAATGACTATTTCATTAATCAAAGTTCAGTCAAGGTTGTTATTAACACAGTAAGTAGAATATTGCAGAAATGTTACTCCTCAGGGAAGGCAATAGATTGTATAGTTATCTCCTGAAGAGGGCAAAATAACTGCCCTACAACTATACAATCTACTACCTCAACCTGATAAAGAGAACTCTATGTATAAAACGGGACTATCTACATTTAATTTGCTCTCCGAGTTTCTGCTTGCCCTTGGGATGAACTCTGAAACAATTCACAAAACAAAACTTTTCCCATGAAAACCTGATCTGGAGAAACTCTTGAATGATGTTTGATAGGTCACTGGTTACAGGCATCTTGTGCAAGCAGAGCTTATTTCCACAAGGTAATGTCCACAATTTGGGGGAATTCCCTCTTCCCACTCAAGTTCTCAGCACCACGACCCACATTATTCAAGACACTCATAAGTAAATATTTGTGGGAAGGCTGGCAGGGGGAGAGGGGATGACAAAGATCTTTACCCATAAGCTCCCTCTTCTGATCAGACTGCTCAATATCCCACATTTTGAGTCCACACCTCTTGCCAAGAATGATCCAATAAGTGTTGGATAGTCTGCAACTAGCACAAATCCTCTTATTTAGCCAAACTCCAGTAACAAAATAGATAGATGACAATGATGGTTTTCTGCCTCTTTAGGAAAGACAGTAGACTGTATAGTTATCTCCCAGTGGTGGGTATGACCCTAAAACTATACAACCTACTACCTCATCCCACAGTGCAGTATCTTCAGTTAAGAGATGGAATATTTTAGAAGGACAGGTATCTCTTTAAGTATGAGCATTCAAAGACTTGTTTTGAAAGCTTTTTTTCTTTTAAATAGATAAAACAACTAGTTAGCCTTAGTGACTTTGTTTGCATAGGAAAATTCAACTGACTGGAAATGCTCACACAAAGGAACTTCAATAAAATATTCTTCATCTTGTTTCATGCTCAAATCTGAAAGGAAGAAGAAACATTAATGAATCTATTTCTAAATAAGCCATAAACAGAAAGAAAGTTATGGGATACTCTATAATCAGTACAGGTTGAGTATATCCAAAATGTCTGGTACCAAAAGTGTTTTGGACTTCAGATATTTGAATATTTTATGTGAATATGTGTACATAATAAGGTATCTTGGAAATGAAATTCATTTCTGTTTTATATACAACTTCTACAAAGCCCAAAGGTAGTTTTATTTCTTTATTTCATTTTTATACTGTTTTCTAACTCCTAGGGGGACTCAAAGTGTTTTACAACATAGTAAACGGCAAAAATTCAATACCAGACATATATAAAGGCAATACACAACATATCTAAAATATAACATATGACTATGAATTAAAACCATTAAAACTATACAAACACATCAATATCAACATAAAACATATTAGACATATTGGAGATTGTACCAATCTTGTGGTTTAGCTGCTTCAGTAGTGCTATCACTCGCCAAATGGCTGCCTGAATAGCTAGGTTTTGTTTTCTGAACATCAGGAGGGGCCCCCAATCTAATCTAGTTGGGGAGGGAGATCCACAGTTGAAGGCCCACCTCTGAGAAGGCTCTGTCTCTCATATCCAGCAATCGCGCTTGTGACAGCAGTGTGACCAAGAGCAGGACCTCTCACCTGATCTTAACACTCAAGCTGGTTCATGAAGGGTATTTGTTTTAGTGTTTTATTATAATATACTGAATTAACCAAGCTTCACTTGCTCTTCTACAAGCAACTAGGAGCCTCAGTGACACATACAATATTTAAATACTAAAAATAATTTCCTTGCTGATCTATTTAGTTCTCCATTACAAGATTACAGTGGGCCCCAAGTGTTTTCTTCTCTCATGCTCAAAGAAACCAAGAATAAATTAGCCCAGCTCTTTCGAATTGATAATTTTGGATCAAAATGAAACCAACAAAAACAAAAAACCTGACAGCCTAATACTTCTTAGCTCCCACCACTAAGGAAGGAATAATGTTGCTCGCTTTGTTGAGTGGCTTTTAATACTTTTGTTTGAATTCTTTTTGGAAACCAGTGTCCTCAAAGTGAGAAAACTGATATACATTTCTAAATGATGTCTAGTTGTAACAACATCAGCACTCGTCAATACTGCAGTAACTCCTTGTAGGAAAGAGCATATCTTTAAGAGAAATAACTATGCAATTAAGAAGCTATTTATTATAACCAGTCACACTTCCCTACTAAACAGTTAGTAGGGAACATCTATGTGTTTAACAGCGAACAGGATATAACAGTGTGTGTCAACTAGTCAAATAAATACTGTTGAGAAAACAGGCTCCCTCTTCTCCAGCCCCATAATCAACTCCAAAGGAATGGCCTATCCTCTGAAGCAGAACTAAAAAAAGGCAGAGTAGTGGTGAAGAGGATAGTGGGGAGAAGAAAGATCTACTTGTGAGATAATGGGTGGCACTCTATGGTTTCAATTCTAAAAGTGATCTAAAATTGAATTGCTTCTTGGAACCAAAATGGCAAAATATCAGTAAAATGTATATATATGCCAATATTACATTTAGCAATTGATTTAACAAGGCTATTCTGAATTTAAGCCAACTGTAAGAAACACATAGCTCACAACATGCACTAGCATAATCAGTGGTGAGGTACACTGAAAGCAGCAGTCCAACTGGAATAGCATGATTCCCACATTTGAAGGGGGTAGCTCTCTTGACTTGTAGCTAATTAAGTTAAAATTAGAATTATTTTTTCATGAAGGAATAGATATATTTGAGATGGAAAGATGATCAATCTTTTATACTAAATGCATATAAATAAGAAAGCTTAACACTGTAAGGAAAATATATTGTATTATTGGTGTCCAATGATCACTTTTTACAAATAATGTGCCATTCCATATTACTGCCTGACATGACCTGTCAATTTACTCAAAAGTGATACAGGTCTAAATTAGGACAATCTCCAACCTAAAGACAGAGAGTGTTGTCTAGTGCAAGATTAGCAACTATAAAGCACCCCATTGAGGCTTACCTGCACTGCTGTAGTACAATGCTCTGGTACTTACAAAAACCCATCCTGTAACACAAAGGAAGTAATCTGAGAAAAGTAAGGGTTTTGCCAATGCATGGCAGGTGCCAGCTCCCACAGGTCCTGAAACCTGGGTGTATCTGAACTGGCAAATTTATATACTCTAATTAAAACGTAACAGTAACCACTTGAGACTTAGCTGGTCTCGTCTCCACCCACAAAGTATTGTAATATTTAATGACCTAGCTGCCATTCAGAAAATCCTAAATTCAACTTCTTCTCATTTCAAGAATCTCAGAATGGCACTGACATATTTTCCATAGTCTTAGAGTAAGAGATGGGAGTGCCAAAATGGTCATATTCAACATTCTGAAGAGATTTTTTAAAATCTGGTAGAGCACTCAGGGATTAAGTACAATACAATTACCCTACTTGTGCAGGATATGTTCCCAGACTTAATGTGGAAACTGAAACTGCGGGGAATAGCATACCCTATTAAAATTGATGACTTACTGAGGAAGAATGGGTCCTCCTCATTCTGGAGGACCCAGAAAGTAACTAGAGTGGACAGTTCTCATGAATACAGAGATAATACTTTACACTGCGACAACAAAGCAGACTGGTTAAAAATCAACTTTACCAAGGTATCTTTTTTGTTGTGACGTAGCACTATAGAATTCAGCCATCAAATACAAAATATTTGGTAACGATTCTGTTGTTTATCAATACCATCCATCCATTCATTTTTTTAAAACTTAACATCAAGTCTATTTATCTTTCAGTTGATATGCCTAACATAATACCTTGTTAACAAAATGGGTCAGGCTTAACCAAAACAATTTAGATTGCTTTGGCAAAAATAGGACTGCCTGTGTATTTAAGTTAAGAGCATTACCTTTCATTTTCCTTTCAACTGTCTCTCATAATTACAAACTAAAGTTCTACTTTCTCACAAATTAGATAACTTAAGAAACTTGGAGAGCTCATTAACTATTTCCAAGGATCACAGACTTTTAAATATATACAAAAGCTATTTTCCAAGTACTTCCCTTTATCATCTTCAAAGCCAAGAATGCCCAGCACATCTGCAGCTACGGTTTCTCCACTATCTGCTGCAAAGAAACAGATATTATTATAGTCTGTCAATCTTCACATATATAACCATTCTTTCTCTGTAGTAAGGCATATTTCACCATAGAAATTATTTGTTTGCTGTATTTGTATACCGCCATTCTCAGCCCGCAGGTGACTCAAGGCGGTTTACATGGCAAAATTCAATGCCCAACTATCATACCATAAAAACCACAAGAAAATCAATAACAACATAAATCATTAGCATCTCTTTGTTAAAAACATTGTCCGGTCCCATCATCTAGTCGTTCCATTTTCCTATGTCAGTTATATACTCAGATTTTAAAACAGCACAAAGACCAACAACTGACAAATCAGAAATTGCACAGGTCAGATCAAGGATATTATTTTCAAACTATGAAGTGAATAATTCTAAACTCCTGCTGCAACAAATCCAACCCGTTTCTGGGACCAATTCAAAGTGCTAATTTTGATTGATAAAGTCCTATACAGATTAGGGCCTGGTTATTTGAAGGACCATATTGCCCTTTCTGAATGTAATAGAACACTAAGATCATCTAGACTGACTCTGGATTGAATCACACCACTTTACCCCAGCACAAACTCATGCCTTAGCCCTCTCTAATTTTGATCTGCCCACCATCGTCCTGGTTATTGAGATTGGCTTTGATTTTTTTTTCTAATGATCTGTTTATATTTTACTGTTTTAATTGTGTAATTTGATTGTTTATTGTGTTTTTAATGTGTTTTTACTTGTCTAACTTTGTTATTGGACTTGGTCCCACTTGTAAGCCACTCCGAGTCCCTCTGGGGAGATGGTGGCAGGAAATAAAAATAAAGTTGTTATTATTATTATTATTAGGAGTCCCGGTGGTGCAATGGGTGTTTAATCTGTGCCAGCAGGACTGAAGACCGACAGGTCGGAGGTTCGAATCCAGGGAGAGCGCAGATGAGCTCCCTCTGTCAGCTCCAGCTCCCCATATGGGGAGATGAGAGAAGCCTCCCACACAGATAGTAAAACATCAAAGCATCCGGGCATCCCTTGGGCAACAACCTTGCAGATAGTCAATTCTCCCACATCAGAAGCGACTTGCAGTTTCTCAAGTTGTTCCTGACACAAACATTTATAAACACCAATATTTCAGACTTGTTTGGTGTGAACAAGGGGCCTTTCTGGATAGCCCTATCCCTGCTTGCCTTTCACAAGCAGGTTAAAATGAGGCATTTAGGGAATGATGTAGGCTGCAGGGAATGGTGTGAGTGGGATATGAAAGCGGATGTGTAGTTATTACATTTTAATACTTTTATGCTCCATGAGGGGAACAATTGAATTGGTTTTCTTTTCTTTTTATAGCCATACTTTAATGCATTGGCCCTGCTTTGATTGTTTTGTGCCGCACCTTCCCTGGTCCCATCATCTTGCTATTATGGAGAAAGGAGGGATAATAATAATAATAATCTTTATTTATATTCTGCTCTATCTCCCCAAAGAGACTCAGGGCGGATTCGGATTTTACTGTTGAGGCGTTACTGATTGTTATACTGAAGTTAGTGATTATGTTATAATTGTTTTAATTGCCTGATACTGTTTTGTAATGCTGTATATTGATGCTGAGTCGCCTGAGGGCTGAGAAAAGCGGTATAGAAATAAAGTAAATAAATAAATAATAAAATAAAGGAATAAATACGAATCTGAAACCAGTCAGAATTTTTGGATCTGAAGGGTGAAACTCTCCACATTCCCAACAAGATCCTCCCAGTCTTCATTTTGACGCTTCCAATAAACCAGAACTTGCTTCCCGGCTAAAGAAAGGCAAAGGAAACCTTTTCCCTCTCCCCCCGCCCAATCTTCCAGGAAAGAGACGCGCTCTTTAAATAAATAGTTCAAACCCGCTCCCTGCCAGGCTCAGGAGAGGAACTAAACGCCCAATTTCAAAAAGGGCAGCTCTTACAAACCTACCCCCCTTCCAAAAAAAAAAAAGGCTTTAAGGGTAATTTACTCACAAGGAAGCCCCATGGAGGCCCAAGGGGGGGGGGAGGGGCTAAGGCCTTGGCCTGCGACCAGCCAAAAGAGAGCGCGCGGGAAGGAGAGAAGGCGGCGCGCCTCGTGGTGAGGGCGCCGCTTGCCAAGAAGGTGCCCGCCTCCTTTCTCATCCCTCCCTCTCCTTCCTTCCCTCGCCGGCCTCTGAAGGGCCCGAACCGGGAAGGGAAGAAGCAAGAAGGGGCGCGAGAGAAGGAAGCCACTGCTCTGGGCCGGCAGCGGGCGGGAAGGCGAGGAAGAAGGGGCGCGAGCATGGGAGCGTGCGCCCGCGCATGCGCGCCACGGGGGGCGTCTGGGAAGAATGGGCGGGGCCTTCCTTCCTCTCTCTCCCTCGGGAGTCCCGCGTATTCGCTGCCTCAGCAGCACCTCGCGCCCCAACCCCGCCCTGGCCTCGCTTCCCTCCTTTGCCAAGGTCTCCTCTTTCTCTCCTCACCCCCTCCCCTCCCCTTTAATCTTGCCCATAGCGAACATGCTACGGGAAATGACGCACCGCCGGCGAGCAACCTATGCTGAGAGAGAATGAAGCCAGCCAGCCAATCAGACGCCGCCAAGTGGGCGGGGTTATCGCGGGGCCTCCAGGTTGGTCAGGGAAGGCGCGGCGAAAAAGCGAAAAAGAGGGGGGTGGGCGAAAGTGACCAAATGGGAGGAAGAAAGGGCGCCGGAGGAAAAGCGGGGGGGAGGAGAGGAGGAAGATGGGAAAAGCCAGAAGGAAAAAGGCGGGAGTCCATGAGAAGATTAGTATTTCCTAATTTCCCCAAGGAGCCACTTCACTGCTATCGAGAGGCCGTTTTTCCTACCCTCAGTTCCCTCCTTTCTCCCCGACTCCCTCCCCTCCCCCCCTTCTCGTCGCCATGGAATCTCCCTCCCGTCTCGAGACGATCCGGCCGTTACCTGAGCGCGTGGGGAGCCCTAGCCTCGCTCGCGCGCCGCTGGAAAGGACCCGGATGGAGACGTCTCTGGCGGCATCAGGAGAGGCTGAGGATGGAGATGCTGCTCCTGCAGCAGCGCTACCGCCTTTCGCCGCATTGGATCACGGGAAGGATGAGGAGGGAGGAACCGCTCTCGCTCCCAAGCCCCTCCCTCCCCATCTTCCTGAAAGGAGAAAGCGAGGAAACCCCGCCTTCCCGCCGCCTGGCGAGGGCCGTGACCTGTCCGTCACCTGCACTTCCCGGCTGTCATTGGAGCAGACTGGCCACAGCCCCGCCTACATGATAGAGCCTCTTTTGTGATTGGGCGGCTTGCCATGTCCGCCTGGCAAGTCCCCGCCTCCAATTGTATGGACTCAGCGTTTGTCCTGGCTGTTCGTCTTTCCTTTCAAGCCTTGGAGTAATGCAGTTTCCGAACAGTATTATGCAGTTCAATGCAATTAAGTCAAGTCTCTGAGTGAGAAATGTGGATGGATACTCTCAGTGGTTTGACATCAACACAATTTTGACACCTCTTAACTGGGTTGCTGTGAGTTTTCTGGGCTGCCTGGCCATGTTCCAAAAGTATTCCCTCCTGACGTTTCCCCCACATCTATGGCAGGCACCCTCAGAGGTTGAGGGATCTGTTGGAAACTAGGCAAGTGAGGTTTATACTAGGGTCGAATGAAAAGTAATGCCTACACCTTCGTTACTTGGGTTTAGATGAGAATATTTTAATAAATCAAACAGAATTAATCCTTAGAATGTGCTCTTTAACTACCACTATTCACTTTTCCACTTAATCACCAGACAATTGGATACATTTCTGCCAACAATGAACAAGTTTTCTGAAGAAGTCGACACCCTGTTTCTGCAACCCATCGTGTACAGATCTTCCGAGCAAAGCCAAGCAAAGTAATAATATGACCCACCCGTTCTTGTGAAATGCCAATTATGCTTTAAATTTCTCTCTTGAGTGATACAACGATCATTCTGAATCAATCTGTCAACCTTCAGCTTGTGAAACTCCGTGGTTGTTGTCACAGGACGTCCAATTCTTTGTCACACAAGTCAGATGTTCCCACCTCAATATCTTTAAAGTTTCTCTCCCCCCCCCCCCACGACGCACAGTACTCACATCAACACAATCACCATAAACAGCTTGCATTCTCTGATGAATTTCCTTTGGGGTGACACCTTCTGCTGTCAAGAATTCAATGGCTGCACGTTGCTTAAGTCGCATTGACCGACCATCTGTGCAGGGTTCCATACTTCGCACTTTAGCAACACAATCGTTCGATGCTAAGGCTTCCCGCCAAAATGGAACTGTAGAGGAGAGTCTACTTAACAAGTCAGTACCTGCCGCATACCAGTACTACCACCTGTTGAGGAGTTACGAAGGTGGAGGCATTACTTTTCATTCAACCCTTGTATATCTGTGGAGTGTCCAGTACGGGAGAAAGAACTCCTGTCTGTTTGAGGCAAATGTGAATGTTGCAAATGGCCACCTTGATTAGCATTGAATGGCCTTGCAGCATCAATCTCTAGCTGAGGAGCCTTCGACATCCATTTTAACTGCCAGGACTCAATGCCTTGGAATTCTGGGAGCTGTAATTTGGTGAGGTGCCAGGACTTTTTGGGAAAGGAGGCTAAAGGCCTTGTAAAATTAAACCCCTTTTATTCCATTGCATCAAACTGCATTCATTCTTCAGTGTAGCTCAGACATGGGCCTCCAGGTGTTTTTGACTTGCAACTCCCACCATTCCTAACAGCCTCATGCTCTTTCCTTTTCCTTTGTTTCACTTAAGCGGCTGAAGGGGGGGGGGGGGAAGGAAGACTGTTAGAATGATGGGAGTTGAAGTCCAAAACACCTGGAGGGCCTAAGTTGGTCCATGCATGGTGTAGCTGTAAACCCTTGGGCATTGCTGCAACATTGATGGGAAAGGTATGATCCAGTGCAACTTTGTTATAACTTCTCTCTCAAATGCTGTAAATTTACAATGGTGTTAATTTCCCCCCACATAATTCTAGGTTTTAGGTAGAGATGAAACACGTGTACCCTTCAGCATTTGACAGGTAAAAATGGGAAATACATGGCCAAACAATATCAGAATGTGTTCAAGATGGCAAAAGTAATTAAGAAGGAATAACAGGCAAGCTAGAAGAGGCTTCAGTACTTTGTCCCCCCCCCCCCCCACACACACACACACTAGGGATGGCAAACTCATTTTCATTGAGGGCTGCTGTAGTATAGTGGTTAAAGCCACTAACTGCAGGAAAGGCTGCTGACCAGAAGATTATCAGTCCGAAGCTGTGAGTTGGATGAGCTTCGGCCTACCTAGGTAAAGGTAAAGGTTTCCCCTGACGTTAAGTCTAATGGTGTCCCACTCTGGGGGTTGGTGCTCATCTCCATTTCTAAGCTGAAGAACCAGCATTGTCCGAAGACTCCTCCAAAGTCAAGTGGCCAGCAAGACTACACGGAGCACCATTATCTGCCCACAGAAGCGGTACCTGTTGATCTACTCATATTTGCATGTTTTTTAACTCATGGGTTGGCAGAATCTGGGGCTAACAGTGGGAGTTCACTCCGCTCCCTGGATTCAAACTGCCAACCTTTTGGTCAGCAAGTTCAGCAGCTCAGCGGTTTAACCCCCTGCACCTCCAGGGGACCCAAATAAAGTTTAGTATTATTATTATCAGCTTTATGGTTGCCTTCTATCATAGACGGAGAATCTACAGAGACAGTGTTCCAACTATAACTTTTTAAAATAATGTTCAGTTCTCTTTTATTCTTTACCCAATTTGGTACCCTGGATGTTACTGAAAGACAACTTTGATTATCTGCCATGGAGATAATGGGAATTGGAACTCAATAGAACTTGTGGCTCTGAGGTTGGGGAAAAGTTAAAAGGACATTTTAGATTGGAAAATAAAATTAGTCTAATATATCCAGTTGGCCGAGCTCTCCAACAGTTTGGGAAGGAACAATGATGAGTTTGTTAAAAAACTAAGTCTTGCCTTTTGGTATTTAACAAATAAGACAAAAATAGATTTTGAAATAGTTGCCTGAGAAAGTGATTAATGTAATTATAAGGTTAGAGTTTTATTAGATACTAGTTCCATAGGGTGTGGTGTCGGATGGGATTGGGAAATAATGTGTTCATTTTGATTGAAAAAATTTGGAAAATTGTATGGTTTTTTTTCTTTTCTTTGTCTTAACACAATAAACATTTTATACCAACAATAATTGGTCAAACATTGTATCTAGAAGCCTAGTATCTAAATTCCAATGACACTGACTAAACAGAACAAACTGCAGCCTCCCAGATGTTACCGTCTGATGATCCTCATCAGCTCTAGTCAGATCTAATAATGAGGAATACAAGAGTTGTAGTCCAGCATCTGAAGGGCCTTGAGTTTGACACATGTAGTGTGCAGGGAAGGGTAAGATACGCACCCACCTTTCCCCTCCCACCAACTGAGTTGAGTGAGATAACATTTGCATTGAGGTGGGAACACTGAGGGTAGTGAGAGGAGGCAGGAACAACTGGAATATTTTAACTAGGAGACACAATGTTTCACATCCACATTTGGCGAGTGTGTACCTAAATTGTAAATTCGGTGTTTCTGTTTGCAGTCCAAAAGCTTTCTGTTTGCAGTCCAAGAGCGTTAAGATCGTCCGGGGAGGCCCTGCTCTCGGTCCCGCCAGCGTCACAAGTGCGGCTGGCGGGCACGAGAGACAGGGCCTTCTCGGTAGTGGCCCCTCGGCTATGGAATGCGTTACCAGAGGACATCAGGCAGGCCCCTTCGTTGCTGGTGTTTCGAAGGAGGGTTAAGACGTGGCTCTATGAGCAGGCATTTGGGTAGCCATGCAGTAACAACCACCCAATAATGACGGCATTGAACAAGGATTGAATTAAGGACTATGAGAACGGGATCTGATTCTAAGTAGGCGTTGATGATTATGTGTATTGTTTGTCGATGTACGTCTTATATATTGTTCACTGTTTATTTTTACTGTAAACCGCATTGAGTCGCCGCTCCAGGCTGATAAATGCGGTATACAAATGGAGTAAATAAATAAATAAATAAATAAATAAATACTTTCGTTAGGCAATCCCTCTTTGTCAGAATTTGATGGCCTTCCAAGTTCTTGGAAAACTCCTGTGTGAGAGTTTTCTTAATGTGTGGAGATCAGTTAGGGTTAGGGTATACAGCCGATTAACACACAGTCTTCATAGAGTGAGGGTCCCAACCAGTGGCGTGGTTAATACGATGGCTTCTCAATCTGTTGCAGCCTTCTTCCACCTTCACAGTTATTATAACCATGTTATCTTTCACCTTATCCATTGTTGAGGTTTTCGGATTGTGCTTGGTCAGGAACCTCCCCTGTGGCCCCCCGGGAGTGCATGACGGTTATGCCTGCAGGTTCATTGGAACACGCAAGCCCCCTCACCATGACAAGGTGACAATCCATCAAGGGGGAGTCCAAAAGCATATGAACTTTAATAGAGCCAGTGCTCTATTTCATGCTGGAGTTCAGCAGGTGGGGGTAGGAATGGTGACCATAATGCGAACCCATCAGAGTTTTTGTGATAAAATTTGTTCCAAAGAAGTTTCCCCTTGTTTTCCTCTGAAACTAGGGAGTGTGACTTTACAATAACTTCTCAGGGCTCTTCCACACAGCCCTATATCCCAGGTTATCTGCTTTGAACTGGGTTATCTGAGTCCACACTGACATATATTCCAGTTCAAAGCAGAAAACGTGGGATTTTATTCAGCTGTGTGGAAAGGATGAGGTCGAGTGCAGAGGTCCCTGCCTTCAAACTGATCTGACCACAGCAGGGAGTTCCACAGTTCCTGAAAGTGTGAGCTTTCAAAGTGACAAAGGGATTGTGGCTCCAGCAACAGCTCCAACAAAGAATCCCCTTTCCCATCCTGCCAAACTTCCCTCTGCTTCCTTGTAACAATCCCCTAATAAAAAGTATCATTTCCTTCAACTTTCTCTCTCTGGAGTGATACATTGTGTCCTTTACTGACTCCAACTATGAACTTTCCTTTTTCCAAGCCACAGAACGCCTCTGGCTCACCCGGGATGCTCCTGCAGCGTCACAGAGAGGTTGAAACTGTGC